TTGTTATTGTCCAATGAACGCTTGCAGATCCAGCAATGTGTTGCATTGTTGAACTCACGCCTGTCTTCATTTGTAAGATCATCTTCGTGGCAAAGTCGAATTTCTTATGAATCTTCTTGATGTTTTCTTCAATCATTTCAACAAAGATCTGAGCAACATCTTTATCTTCGTTGTTTGTGTTATAGATGGCTGGCTCTTGTGTGAACAAGGCTTATCATCGGAGCAGACAATGTGATGGCAGAACCCACATGGTTTATTCTTTTGATATTTATTTGTGAAACTCCTTTCACTGCTTTGCTCGCATGTGTCGATCAGATTTGTTAGTGATTCAAAGTCAGTGTAAATTACGAATGGAACTCTAATAGAGCGATTTTGATTCTTGAATTGGATTCCTTCACCATTTACTTCCAGCATCACGTTCCAGACTACTTTATTGTTTGAGCAGTAAAGATCGTGAATTGCTTGTTTTTGGATTAGCAATGAATTCTGAATTCCGCAAGATGGATGTCAAGAGATATCACTCTTTAAAATTTTCAGTTGCTTCCTCTTAAGTTAAAATTCTGAATTACCTCATCAGATATTTGCATTAAAACATCAAATACTTCTAATTTGTCTGTTGCCTTAGGACCTTCGATTACTTCGGTGTGGAAAAATGTATCTTAAAGCTGGACTGATCCATCTTCATTTTCTCTCACCATCTCATACGAGAGTATCATATTAACCTTCATTTGACGATTCTCTCTCATTATCCTTAAGACTTCTGGTTTGGCTTTTTCCATGAACTCTCTCCATCCAAAACCTGGTGCTCCGCGGTCTGGATCCGAAGGATCTTCAATTCTTTCAATTCTAAATTGTCTAATGAACCTCTTAACGCACTGACCGACTCGCGAATTTCAAACTGACGAGTTTTGTAATTTTTAACGAGCTCATTCCATTCAGCTCCGCTGGATAAGTCCTCTGAAGTAGACCTTCTCAATCCAAGCATCTCTTCGATTTCTCTGATTTCTCTTGTTCTTTTTCATTTACTTCAACTTGAGGTCTAACAGGGAAGCCTTCGGCCAGGCCGCGTAGCGGCACATATCTTGTTGGTGTTAGAACTGGTGCATCAATCTTTGGAACTGGATGGTCAAGAATATTAGATATCAACTGAAACAAATCCGGTTTCTAAATCTTGAATATCTTTTGAGTCCGAGTTGTTTTGCCTCAGCTATTAATTCTGGAACCTTTTGTTTTCCATTTTAGATGAAAATCGAAATCTTCAGCGTCGAAGTGCTTCCTTCAAGTTCTTCTCTCTGATTCTCAAGAGCATCAATACGCTCTTGATTTTCCGTTATAATTTCTCTTACTCTTTCTCTTATAGCCTGGTCTTCATTCTAGTCATCGGCAATCTTCTGATCCTCCTGAATAGACTTCTGCAACTCTTGCCCTGGGCCAAGTGAGATCCTTATTTGTTTTTCCCATCTCCAAAGCTTAATGACAAAGTTTTCCTTGTGCCGGGATCTCTTTCACTCATCTTTGACTTGAAAGTTAGTGGCCACGCAAACAATTATATCGTGAACAATGTCCTAGGAGCTATTGTTGACTGTAAAATCCGCGGGAGAAATCGTGCAGGACACTGATGGTTATGATCTATTCAAGCTATATGAGGACCTCTTCTGACTGAGAATGAGAGGGCCAGCATGCTCAGGAAAGGTATTCAGTCTGTTGACCATTCGAAGATCAGATGCAGTGCTGGGGATAAGAAGAAATCAGGAGTTGACAAGGAGAATAAGCTCCACGATGTTTATCAGAACAAATATAAAAATTCCATCGGATCATGAGATTCTGAAGGATCGTGGAGTCTTTTTCCAAAGAGATCTTTTTGGATGAGCTTCTTTTCGAGGTCAAGCTTGCACCCTGCCAGTATTGTTGTGATAGGATCGATAGGAAGAACTCGCTGATGAGGTCTTTTCTAACTACAAAAATGGAAAGACATTCATGTACGAGCACGTTACTCATGTCAAGACAATCGCAGTAGATAAGAGATTAGACTCGATCATCAATGAGAGCGTCAATGTTCTAAGGAGGTCAAGAAAGGGACTTCTTCTTTTTTACGAGCCATATGTCGCTGGTGCGAGAGATAGTGAGAAGACATTCAATCCTGACATCACTGAAAGTGAAGGTGATTTGTCAATGGAATCCCAAATAAGGTTTACAGTCAAGGAATAGAGACAAGAAATATGTGAGAAGAGGCCCTCAGAAGATTTGGAAAGGGAAACAGCGTGGTAAATGCGACAGACCTTAATACTGGTGACAGATTCGCTCTATTCATCGATCTCAGGAGTATGAGAGACTATGGTCTTCATGAAATTGGATTGAGATTGGACAATACGAAAGAAGGAGCCCAGTTAGCAGTTAACAGGAAGGCATCGGGCTCAGGAAATGCGAAATGTTACATCTTTATCCTCTCAGATGCACAGCTCAACTCATAAGTTGTGTGCATGAAAGCGTGACTTATTAATGAGATAATTAAAAAGACACTCTTTTTGACAAAAGAACAAATCAAGACAAGCCCTGAAGGGGCCGGGTGCGGAGCGGCACACAACGACTTTTTCATAAGATACAACATTGCTGCTAATCCTTTTGCATGATTAAATTCTTTCTGATACTGAAGATTGATAAGATAATATGTCATAATTTTGTGGAAAAAATCATGCTACGAGATTGCCGTGTTTGCCTCAGTGGTAGTAGATATATAATGACACGTTCTGGCTCAGTACAAAACCAAGGCTATACATTATTTTGGGCTAAGATCTACTCAGTTTTCTCTATCATTTTCAACTCGCATTTGGAAAGAGATATTCTAAAGCACAAGCTGTCGCAGAAATAGTGAATAACCTAAGGGTGTCTCTGGAACTTGATATGTAGAGATTTAAGGTTTTTTATGACTTTCCAAACGCCCTCGATACTGTCAATCACAACATCCTACTGAAGAAAGGGAAAACATGGAACGGTATGAGGTGGGGTGCAAGCCTCTTGAGCTTTGCACTAATTACCCGACAGGAATCCATGTACTGCCATAGAGACTACTATGATAAACAAAAGTATTTCTTCCTCCTTTCTTGGATGATAAATCTCCATTACAGTATTTTAATCTTCGCTATATTAACATGGGGAGGTGTATAAATATTTAAAGAAAATTCACACTAAACAGAACCTCGCTGTGAAGCTTATATTTGTTTGAAGTACCAAACACAGGGCCTACCCTTTACTTGGCCCTCTGGATGTTCTGATGATAAATTATGTGCATCGAGTTCGTTCCAATAAGAACCACACACATTTGGCACAAAAGCTTCCTAAAATATTTAGGAATAACTTATTTCCCGACATCGATTCCCTACACCGAAAATAGATATTAAAAAGATAAAAATGAAATACCCCGGTGGCTGAAAAGGAAAAATCAAAGGCGACAAAAAAATTTTAGAAATAAACGTCTTGAGAAGCAAGCTACATGTAACTCAAGCAGCTGACTCAGTTTGTACCGTATATTTTTCACCCATCGCTGTAGAAGAAATCTGGTTGAAAACTTTGATCTTCGCGAAGCTCAGTTGTGCTTGCTTGCCACGCTCTTTTGACGCTTACACACCATTTCAGAGTCCGCTCGGGATAAAATGTGTCCCCCTTCTATTGTAACCTATTGTAAACAGAGTTACCAGCACGCCACTTCTTTCAGAATATTTTACGACTGGGAAAGTCCTCTGTTTAGAAAAAAAGACGTACCAAATTCTATCAGGTGGAAGCTTGGCTTAAATAATTATTGCTGGAGTTGTTCTATCTACACAACGACAATCTCCATTTTACTCTTCTTGAATTTGAAGCTCCCAAAGACCTTAAAAATGCGCTGCATTTCTTTTTCATGCCATGTAGTAATTTGTCTGATTTTTTGGTCGGGATCCAGTTTCCACCATAGACACGTGAACTACGAACTGAAGATTAAATACGAGTCTTTGGAAGCGCGACTCTCGCTTTGTCTTATTAAACATGAATATAATTTGTTTAGTATTATTGATGTACACGGCTCGCTTTAGTTTCTGGCCAAAAGTCTTGCTTCGATCATGAAGCTGCATCACAAACTCCTCCCGGCCGGCGCCACAGTCAGTTACAATCGGTTCTATCAAGATGTATAACTACACTACTGACTCAGTGGAGTCCACCTGTTCCTCACTTGCCAAAGGATGATGAAAAAAACTTGACTTAGCAAGAAAATTTCCCTCCGAGGTAACTTTCTTAAAGGTTTCTCCCAAAGAGTCTCCACCGTTAGTTTCTTCTCGGTTACGAAGTTCAAAACATGTCATGATCATTGACCAGGAGGCACAACATATAATTACACACAAAGCGACACCGAAAATGCCAAGTACAATGATCGCAATCATTCCACCTCCGCTGAGTTTAGCCATGCCAAAGCCTGCCTCAGTGCCGGCGTTACCGGCAGATTGCCCATTTTCACTCCGTACTCTCTTCGTCTGAGTCAGAAAACAGATAAGAAGCAACAAAGCTTTGATGTGATATATCCTCATGTTTCAACTACGAGTTCCATGACGCCGTGATGTACTAGGAAAATAGGCCCTTGCAATTCCTTCTGATGCGGAGGCCACCGATCTAAACCTTACTATGGAATGTTCGATTTGGCGATTTTTCTTATGTACAGTCAAAATCAGACTGCATAAGATCGTTCGTTGAGTTTAAATGTTTCATAAATAAAAAACTGTCGGCTTTACGGAAAACTTACTTTGAATGTCGTGTCCCTGATTCCTAAACGTATGGAAATAAGGACGACTTAAATTTTTTATTAAAAGAACTCCTCCTTTTGAATTAGAAAGCGGGCCAATATTTTAGGAGATGCTAATGTACCTGCATAAAACAAAATACATTAGTCTAACTTGAAGAAGTTCAGAGTTGCTTTCGAAATTTCTAGTAGGTTCAATGATAGGACAGACATATAGTTAATGTTCTTGTCACAATTAAACAGCAGTTCAGTTTAATGACCATGTTCGCGCATTGTCTCCTGTAAATGCCCTCGTAGACGTTAACAAACTCAAGCATTATACTAAATGGATCACTTTCATTATTTGTTACCGTCTCGTCATGCCTAGAGAAGGTCCGTTAAATCTCTCGGGAAAAATCCAAACAATAATGAACACAATGGTCCCGAGTTTCGCGAGAATGACAGGCTTGGTTTCAAGGCAGCAAGAAGTATAAAAACCAGCTTCAAGCCGATGGGAATTTTTTAAACCAATGAATATTCCATCACACCGCATTTACAAGACATATTTAACTTTTTTTGTCCATTTGTATAATTTCAACATTTTTAAACCCATAAAGTTGTTTTTCACCTCACACCTGCATACACTCGAAACATGACCTCCCTCTTCATACTTTTTGGTCTTTTCATCTAATAACTTCGGCATCAGCGGTATAGATAGGAAGGAGAAAGCTGCCTTGAAGTTCTAGCTGCTGGCAAATAGAGCACGACACTTTGATTAAAACCCAATGATCTCAAGGATTTCGAAATATTCCTTCCCAATACAGAAAAAGAAAGAGAAAATTCGCTGCGGCAAATTCACTCCCACTTTTAAAGTGATAAAGCCCATCTCTTAACCTATACCTATAAAATAGCTTGATACTTTGGTTGGTCAGAGGCTCGAATTTTTAAAGAACATTTTTTATTTGTTTTTTTTATTATCGTGAAAGAAGGGTTTGTTGTACCTTTGGGCATCGTTTCAGTAATTGAAAAAATCTGTAAGCGGACAAAAAAATCTTGCCAAAGAGAAGATTGATAAAGCAAGTAATTTTTTACTAAAATTGTTTTACTCTTTCTTTAGGGGGCGTGAATTTTTGGCTTGTTACCGTGAAGCACTGGGAAATTTTTTTTAGAACGGAGTTTTTTTTCTATCGTTTTTTTTAGACAGAAACTTCTCGATCAATATTCTCTTTCTAACCGAATGTACTTTTAGTGAGTTATTATTAGAGAAAGTTACGATAATATGATCTTAAAACTTCGCAACCATTGTTATCACTATGTTAATTAACAACATTCTTCTTTATAAAATAATTTATCAAATTACTCTAATTGAAGAATAAAATCTCTTACTCAGTTACACAACATAACAACTTCTCCTTGTCTTAACGCAATCAGGAGCATTTGCATAAATCATATGCCCGTAATTTATGTCTTTTTGAATAGTTGGAAGGGCAACTGCAACAGACATTGATGAGAATGCGAGGCGACAGGAGACTTCTGTAAACGACTGAAATTGTCGGGGAAAGGTGGTGATAATCAATATTTACTTAAGAGAAAAAGAATAAGCTGGGACATTAGTACATTGTCTTATTGCTCGTTGAAATAGAATATGGTAACATGGTTCTGTTAATGTACACTCCTTGTTATCTCCACAGTCGGCATGTGTTGTCTTTGCTACCTGTAGAAACCCAACCAGATGGTATTGAGAATAAGAATCAAAACTGATCTATAACACTGTAACTAATCCATTTAAGCCGGAAATGACGGGATCACTTCCTCCTTAACGTGAATTTCTGTGAAAGTCGGCGAATGGAAATGGAAAAGGAAAAGGAAACTTAACCCGTGGCAATGTAGACTACTCTCTCTATGATCATTTGCAAATCGTTTTTCGCATTAATTGAAATTGATATATCAAACACATTGGTTTGATAACAAACAAGCTTGTCTAATCTTAGGACAACCTTATACTCCTCTCGGAAACCTATGAACCGATTACTTTTAAAATCTCAATCTTAATTGCACCTTTCTTGAATAAACTAAGAAGTATGAATGGCGTTTAGCTGCTACAAAATGGTATTGCCCTGTCACCCGACTAATCCAGTGGTGCAGTGTGTCAGTAACCGACTGCACCACTGTAAGAAAGGATCTAGTATTAGAATACACAATATAAATCATATATCAAATGAATTAAAAGGTGAAATTCATCTATTTCTTCATTCATTTATTTTGCTTACTTTTTACAGTGTTAAAAAGCTGTGTTCAACATCATCCGCATAGAAAATAGGCTACAGCTTTACACTGGCCTCACTAAACTAAAAAATATGTGTAAGAGGAGTAAACCCAATAAACACTATAAGATTACTATT